GTTACAGAAGTGCCCAGAGATCAGGTTTGAGGGCTTTTGAGAACCAGACAAGTGCTTTGTTTCAGCGCTGCTCTTGCTGATGATGTTTTCTCCTCTCTGCTTGAGAGGTCCCGTTGGGGTGGGACACGTGGCACTGTGGAAGAGGGGTTGCTCTGGGTCACCTTCAGTGGCAGTGAAGCAGTGCCTGATTCCACAAACTACTTCTTTCTTTTTTTCCTTCTTTTTTTTTTTTTTTTTTATTGGACTGTCTTCACCAGAAAGACACACAAGCCCTTTTATTTTCCTCTTGGTGTAGGAATTGGAAGGAAAATCACTCACCATTTCAAGGACGGAAAATATTACCCTGATAAGGAGGAGTTGCTGAACTTTAGGTAAATTCAGACTGGGACACTTTATTTTTTGTTGTTGTTAATTTAAGTAACAGACTTTTTCTTTTGTAACTGCACTTGATTTACAAGAAAGATGAGGGACATGAACATCTACCAAAGATGATCTCTTAAAAAGGTGGAACTCCTAGAACCTGAACAAAACAGTGTGAGAGGTAGTAGAGGCGTCAAACCACCTGGGATATGAACATGCTGGGACCTATTGTGGTTGAAATTGGCCAGCTGGGAAGACTGCATGGAAGGAAAGAGGAAAAAAAAACACCACAGAAAAAAGCAGTTTGTACCTGTAGGAAGAGGATGGTATTTGAGTCTCCAGAACGTTTCCCTGTCGCACCTCGGCCCGGAGCCGCCACGTCTCTGAGGTTCCAACTCCAGGTCCCAGTTCTGCCAGAGCTCATCTCAGCTAACGTTCAGTCTTCCTTACTTGCCCCATCTGCAACAGGTACTTGAATTTGTTTCCTGACAGAGGTTCTTTGGTTCGTTGGTTGCTTTTTCCCATGGCAACGTGACTTGCACACAGAGGAGTTGGCCTCGCTGCCCCCAGGGAGCACTGGGACTGGGCAGCGAGTTCTGCTGCTCAAGGGAACCCAGGACTTGAGCTGTGGTGGTTTGTACCCTCCTCTGCTCCGTGTCCCCCTCTAGAGCAACAGTCAAGGAGTGGAAATGTTTGAACACTTGGCGCCAGATTATTTAAACCCCCTCCCCAAGGAGTTGGAACTGATTTGTGTGACTGAAACGCCTCCTGTTCTGTCTCCAGAACCCTTGTAATATTTTTCACAGCCAAGCTTGTCAGACTTGCTTTGGGTTTTGTTGGTTCTGCTGCACAACAGCTCAGATCTTTTGGTTCTTTCTTTTTTTTTTTTCTTTTTTTTTTTTCTTTTTTTTTTTTCTTTTTTTTTTTTCTTTTTTTTTTTTCTTTTTTTTTTTTCTTTTTTTTTTTTCTTTTTTTTTTTTCTTTTTTTTTTTTCTTTTTTTTTTTTCTTTTTTTTTTTTCTTTTTTTTTTTTCTTTTTTTTTTTTCTTTTTTTTTTTTCTTTTTTTTTTTTCTTTTTTTTTTTTCTTTTTTTTTTTTCTTTTTTTTTTTTTTCCATTTTCCTTTTCAGCAAGGTTTGGTGTTTCAAACCAACCTCTTGCAGTTGAAACATGTTGCTTATCTGCCTTGAAACTGTTTTCACATATGCCTTTGTTTTGGGAATAAGCTGTTTGGAATGTCTGTCCTGTGCTGTAACACGTGCTACAGTTTGCTGTGTGGAATTTGGTCCTTTTGAGAGATAACTGGTGCTCATCACATCCTGGTCATTTCCCTAGACTCATGCTGGCTCTGGTCTGGGTTCTCAGTGTGGGCTTGGGCTTTCTTTTAATTTAATGTTCAACCCCACATTTGTGCTGTGAAATCCCACAGGTCTCCATTTCCAAGGGGACAAAAGGGGCCTAGGGTTTCAGCCCAGAAAGAGGGCACTGTAAATAGAGTCTTTCAGAAGTCAAAAATTAATATTAGGGGGTCATAAGCTTTTTATTAATTTGTGGGTCGTTCAGTTTCTCCTGCCCCTGTGGCCCAGGCCCTGTTCCATGTGCTGTGGGATTCACACACCATTCTCTGGGAGGCTGAAGAGTCTCGTGTCTTAAGGTGTGTAGATGGAAAAGCCACAAAGTAAATGCAGCTCTGAGAGTGTTTTAAAAAAGGGAGGACTTAGAGGGTATCATCTGCTTTGTTTTGTGGGCATTATGTTGGTTGTTTTTCTCTTAAACAATAAGCACTTAAGTTTACTATCCATTAGAAATTGAACACCAGTGACTTTTTTATTCTTGACAGTTTTAAAAAAAATCTGCATTGAATCTGCAGCCTTGGCCTGGTAAGTTTGTGGGTCTCCTTTTGGGAAACTACCTTGTACCTTTTAAACTGTTGAACTTTAAAATGTGTATTTAAAAAAAAAAAAAAAAAAAAGGAAAAAAAGATGAGAAGAAGGGGAGGAAGAGAGAAGGGAATGAGGGGAGTGCAGCCCCCCCTGCACTGGGACACCACAGAACAACCAGCCCAGAGAAAGAGAAATGAAACTGACACAGCAAGAGTCTCATTCTCTGCACTTCATGAACAGGAATGAGGTTGAGAGGCAGTGGGTTCCTGCACCAATCCTTGCTGGGGTTGTGATGCTAAAGGCTTCAGAGCAGTTCACTCTGTTTGCTTATTCCACTCTAAACAAGCTCCTGCTGGAATGAAATTGGCTCCAATGAAAAGCCCCATCAACTCCCTCCCCCCCCATGAACTCCCTCCCCTTCAGCCCTTCCCCAGTCCTGCCCCCTCTGTCCAGTTGCCAGACTGTGTGGGTTAAAGTCATTAAATGCAATTTTCTCACTTAATGATGTATTACCCAGGTATGTAACTTTGTTTAACATGAGCATTTTGTACATTGTTTACATTTGGAGAGGTAGCATTATGTTAAAAATGCTAATTTCTGTTTCTAGACAGTATTTTTATTACCAGAATAAGAAGTGAAGCTGCAAATATTTGATTTGTTTTTAAAAGGGACTTTTTGTTGTTTCGTTTGCTTTTTGTTTTTAATCTTGTTTTAGGTCACTTTTTTTTTTTTAACTCAAGTATTTAAAAAGAAAACCCAGCCCTTTCAATTCTGGTTTTACAGCTGCTTGTGCTGCTTTGTTGTCTGTTCCTGATGTGAGTTTAGTTTCTGGCTGTAGCATCTACCCTGCAGAAGCCTTGACACTGAGGTGCATCTGCCTGGAAAGCACCCTGGCCTGGAGGAGCTGCAGGTGCTTCAGACCCTGCTCAGATTTAAATAAATTAGTTCAATTTGGTCATTTGGAGTTTTCAAACAGGAGCAAGGAACAAAACAGCCCAGCCTGCAGTGTCACCTCCAGTGCCCCCAGGGCAGGGGAACTTGGGTGAGAGGGGAACAAGCTGCAGGGTTGTTTTCTCAATTCCTGCCTGTCCTCAGGGTCTGTCTCTTGCTGAACATGGGCCTGAAATGTCAAGATCTGAGCTACAAAAACTGCTTTGAACCTTCAACTTAGGGTGAGCTTCTGCAGTGTAAGGAAGAGAGGGAAGGCAGAGTGAGGAGCCAGGGTTTGGCTGCTGCTCTGCTCTGATAGTGCAATAAAACCCACCTGTTGGGTCACTCTTCACTAGGACCCACCTGTTCTGGAGGTACCAGGCAGCACCCACCCAGCACCCATCCCTTCATGTCAGGGCCAAGAGGAGGGGGGGGCCCTGGTGTTCCCTTCTCCCAGCAGGGAGCTTGAGGGGTCCTTCCCTCTGCTCCCACCCACACCTCTGACCTGGTTTTAATGATAGAAGATGGTGACATCACAGGGAGAACTTCTGGGGTAGGTGACTCCAGATTTCCTGCCTAAACGAGGATCCTCACGCCTGGGACCCCAGCTGGATCAGCAGCAGGAACAGACACATTCAAGTCTCTGTCCTTTCCTGGGAGGAAGCAGCTCCTGCTCTGCCCTCTCTCCCTGCTTCCTGCAGAGGGAACCTGGGAGGGAACTTCTGGGGCTTCTCCTCTCAGCCCAGGAAAGGCACCAGGCTGAGTTGGAGTGGTTTGGTGTCTGGGCCTCCTGGCAAGTCTCCCAGCAGCTTCATCCCAGCTGCCCATAGGGCAGAACATTTCACCCCAGGGGTACAAAAACCCTGCAGGAGTCAGAGTGTGTCTCCTCAGCTGGGTTTGCAACCCTGCAGCCCCACCTGGGACAGATCCTCCTCAAAACAGCCCCAAAGTAGCTTCCCCTCTGTGTCCTGACACCCCAGTTCAGCTTTCCCTCTTGACTGCCTTCCCCCCTTCTGCAGAGCCCTTCTCCAGTATCCCCATCAGCCTTTACTGGTTTTCCTTGCTCTTTGGACACCTTGTGTGCCAGGGATGGCAGAGCTTTGGTGGGTTGGTTGAGCTGTGCTGCTCTTTGTGCTGAGGGAGCTGGACTGGGTTGTGCCAAGAGGAGCCTCTTACACAGGTCAGGGTGGGCAGGGCTGGGCAGCTGGAACCATGTAAAGAAACTTGGATCTAAAACTGAAAAGAGAAAAAAGAAAAAAAAAAAGCATTCTAGTTTGTTTTTTTTTCCCACTGCTGTTTTTTAAATAGGAATTTTAAGTCCTCTGTGCTTGTCTGTTTGCTAGGAGCAGTTTGAGACACTGTTACTGTTTTGAAATGCATGCATGTTACAAGATGAGTCTCCAACCAGAGAAAAATAAAAGTAAAACTTTGTGTATCCCTGCTCCTTCTGCTGGTCTCTGTCCAGGGCCCTGCTGAGCTGGGGGACTGGTCCCAGCCAGGGATCAGCCACAGCTGGAAAAGGTCTTGTTACCTGTGCCTGTAAATTAGGGGAGGGGGGTTAATTAAGAAGTGATTTTACCAGGTCCTGGTGACAAAACAAAGCAGATTGGCCTGGAAAAGTGACCCCTGCCAGGTCCTGCTGCCACCCAGCAAGGCAGGCTCTGCTGCTGGGTAAAACCCAAGCTCCTGCTGATGTGTTTTCAGTGATGAGAACTTAACCCCCAGTGTTGAGACTCCAGAAAAGGAAAGTTCACTTCAAGAGTTTTATTTAAAAAAAAAAAAAAAAAAAGCTCCAGGCAGGCTGGGCTGTGAGAGGCAGCTGAGCTGGGCTAGTCCAGCCGAGCCTTCAGGGTCCTGGTGGTGATCTTGTCCTTCTCTCTGCAGGGGGAAGGAAAGAAGAGTGTTAGTACCTCCATGGTTAGTATCTCCATGGAATTGTCCCTTCCTTGGGGAGGCTGCAGCAGGGCCGGGGGGACTGGGAGCCTCTGTCCTGCAGGGGAGGAGCAGCACTCACATGATGTGCACCACCACCCCCATGCCAGAGATGGCATCTCTGTCCACAGCGTTCAGCATGGCCTGCGAGATGGTTTCAAAGAGGTGCTCAGGTTCCTGAGGAACAGAATCCATCTTAGTTGGTGTAACAATGGAATGTTGTTGAGTCATCAGGTTTTGGTCAAACCCCCAAAGTATCCTCCAAGATGCTGCAGGGTTTTCCCTGCAGGCTGCTATGATCATGGAATGGTTTGGGTTGGAAGGGACCTTAAAGATCATCTAGATCCAACCCCCTGCCATGAGCAGGGACACCTCCCCCCAGCCCAGGCTGCTCCAAGCCCCATCCAACCTGCCCTTCAACACTGCCAGGGATGAGGCAGCCACAGCTTCCCTGTTCCAGGGTCTCACCACCCTCACAGCAAAGAATTTCCTCCTCATGTCCAATCTAAATCTCCCTCTTCCAGTTTAAAGCCATTCCCCCATGTCCCATTCCCCTCCTCTGGACTCACTCTAACAGCTCTACACCCTTATGCTGAGGGCTCCAGAACTGGACACAGTTCTCACAAGAGGCAAGTACAGAGGGACAATCCCCTCCCTGGCCCTGCTGCCCAGGCTGCTGGGGATGCAGCCCAGGACACGGGGGTCCCCAGGCTCCAGCGCTCAGTGCAGCTCCTGTTTGTTCAGGAAGCACCAAAGGCCAGAGCTGTCCATCCCAGCCCCACATCTCAGGTTCTCCAGTTAGCAGGAGGTTGGGTCCAGGAGCCAGGGCTGGGACTCACCATGTCGGGCTCCCAGAGGGACTCACACATCCCATACATCTGCTCGGAGCAGGTGCCACTGACCACGAAATCATCGGTCACCATGGGGCAGCCGATCAGGTCCAGGGAGCAGATGAAGGGCTCGTGTGTGATGGGGTCCAGCCCAGCAATGACTGGTTCTGTGTAGTAAGGTCCAAACCTGTGGAGAGCAGGCCAACCACCTGGATGCAGTCCCACATCCCACCTGAGTGTCTATACAAGGACAACACCCCCCAGGTGTGTGTGTGGGGACCTTCCAGCCACGGCTCTGGTGTGGCACACAGGACAAACCTGCAGGGCTGCAGGATGAACAACACCCAATATTCCTGTGAGCAGGCTGAAGAGAACACTGCCACACAAGTCCCCTTTTGCCATGCCACGAGCAGTCACCTCAGCCTCCCACCCCTCCAGAACTGGATCAGCCCCCAGACCCCAGAGCCTCCAGTGACCCATGAACAGTTCCCTGACAGTTACCGTCTCTCATAGAGCAGATTGGAAACCATACTCATGAAAGTCTGAGGTTTAATCTGCCTGCCTTCCTTCAGCTCATAGAGATTCAGCCTGAACTTCAGCCTCTGGGCTCTGCAAGAGATGAGAAGCAGCATTAAAGCAGGACCAGGTTCCTGTTCCTTTCATCATGGCCCAGGTCTGAGCCATCCAACCACACCCGACAGGCTCCTGCCACCTCCCTGGGGCAGACAGCTGCTCCTGGAGCAGCTCCTTTTATACCTGAAGTTTTCAACTCTCAATAGCAATGTGCTCTTAAATCAATGTATAGTTTTATTTTTAAAACTCCCAGTGAAGCCAAGAAGAGGAGTCACACCAGCTGTGACACCCTCCCCACCCTTAAACAAAGACATTTACACTCAGCATCAGCTCCCACTTTACACATCTTCTCCTCTTGCAGGCTGAGGGTGGGAAGGCGGGGGGGGGTGGTCTCACTTACACGGTCTGCACGTCCGTGGCCAGTCCTGCCAACCCAATGTAGAGTCTTTCTCCCATAGGGAAAATCTTCTGGAAGTCGGTGGTGACGGTCTGGGCCTGGATGCCGAAGCGCCGGTCGGC